TGGGAAATCGCGTGCCCCATCTCACTGAGGAGGGACAACTTCTTGGTCTTGTTATCCACTTTGAGGGAGAGGTTACAATGCGCAGGAATGTCGAGGTGTTGGAGAAGGAAAATATGATTCAAGATATCGTCGTCAAATACAAAACTGCTGAGTCGAGTTAGTGAGACCACGCTGACTGATTCGGGGCCAGGGAGTCGAGCAGAACTCTCAATGGCATGGAGAAGTATGAGTTCTGAAAGCAAAGGTGAACAAATCAACATCCCGAGAATCTGAGTCATGGACGGGGCAAACGCCGACGACTGAAGATGGAGATGGAGGTGAGTCAGATTCTTGAATATGGGTGCGTCCCAGGAAACGACGAAATTGGACAAGGCAAGGGTTCGGAGGCGAGGAGCGGTCAGCTGAAACGCTGGCCCAGGATATGGGGCGTCTTCGGGCATTTTTGACCAAGGGATGAACAAGGATAAGACCTGGAGGGAATGCCCATCCAAACCTGCCAAAACTTGGTCGAGAATCTCCGGTGGAGCCTGGACATCGAGCGTGTGGATGGCTGCCACTTCCAATGCCAAGTGGAGGTTCTGTATCCCGCGGTTCGAGTGCATTGGGAAGTGAGCTTTGACGATGACAGGAATATTTGCGGAACGGTGAAGTTGCTCTCTGATCCACTCGGGGTGGTCGAACTGATAGTCCGCTTGCGTCCAAAGCTGACCGCAAGCGAGCGCTACATGACGCCAGCGATGGCAGACCTGGGATACGTATCTCAAAACATCTGAACGGTCGGTGAGCTCGGATGCTGCACAAGTGAACTGGAAGATTTCCGAGAGAATTTCGTTGGGTAAACGAAATGGGAGAGAAAGTGCGTTTCGCGCCTGTGGGTCGAGATCGAGCATCGCGTAACGAGTGTGTGGCTGGGCCAGTGTGCACACAACACGGACATCGTTTGTACTTACGACCTTGATGTCCTTGATTTCATCCCATATCCCACATGTCTAACCGGACAACCTTACCCTCAAATCCGGGCAATGGTGGGAGCACCAGCTCAAGACGCGAGAATAACCAGTCGGCGTCGTCCTCCCACTCTGGTTCAGGTCGGAGCGAGCGCGGAGCACGAAGCGCTTCCCATGTGCGTCGTAATGCATTGCGCCTGTACTCAACCTATCTGACCTAGCCTTAAGCCTGCCGTCGAGTCCGCAGTGACTCGTCTACTTGTGGCCATCAAGCAATTACTGGAGGCGCTCACGCAATGGAGTTTATTGAAGATTGACGAGAATAATGTTAGCGACGTTTATGTCCGGCTGGGCAACGACTTCAATGCCGCAGTCGCCGCATTTGCGGCCTTCAATATCGACATGGCGTATGTGGCCATCTTACATTTATATTGCAACCATTTACCAGGCCTCTTTGAAGCGAATTAATGACTGTCCCTGACGACCTACGAAATGTCCTCGAGCAATGTCTTGCAGAAGACGCAACGCCCGATAACCTCGAGCTCTATCTACCCACCGTGCGGCAGATCATAACAAATTTGTTACAAGGTCTACGAGGGAAGCAGTCTATATACCGACGCATTGTCTCGGACTATCGACATCGTTCCGAGCAATCTGGATCCGAGAGAACAGAGAGCCGTTCCTCTCGCTCTCGCCGGGAGGGCTCTCATCGATCCCAACTCTCTCGGACAACGTTTAGCGATAATGATACTCCCCCGACGCCAACGTCCAACCTGCGAGACAGAGACAGCGCCTCATCCCGAAAGAGTACGCAGCAATCCTCGACCCGAAGAAAGGATCCCGGATCGCCGTCACTCAATGGTTCGCCGCTGAATGGCGGAGAACCGTTCGTTGGAGGGTTTGCACCGGCCATCGTGGAACAGTCCGCTGATCCAGAGTCTAATCCTCAGGGAGAGGAGGATTACTCTCAACAAACTGATTCCCAGTCTCGCAAGGCGCGGACGGTGCCGCCCCCGATTGAACCGCCTCCCGCTGATAATTTCCAACAGCAATACCCCACCAACTCCCCCAACGAGCAAACAGTGATGCCTCCTGCAGCCCCAAATGTGCCAGCGAGCGTAAAACGATATTCATTGGTGGACAAACCACTCGGCACCCCAGCCGTGATTGTTGAACCTTCCAGTCCAGATCCGGAGCCCGTCAACGATCCGGAGCGTCTCAACGGCGCAATATCACCTCCTCCCCCGGATACGCCGCCGATAGATGCCCTTCAGGCGCCTGCGATGGCAAACTCTCTTGCCGCTCTCAAAAAGAGCGACACGCTGGAACGCAGAGCGTCGAAGCGTTTTTCGACGTACAATATCTCAAAAATGACTGGTGCTCCGGCAATGCGAGAACGATCTACGCGAACCGGACTCGGCGCTCCAAACAGGCGATCGTTAGCTGCCTCGTCGGCGCTGACACCCGGAGACCTTGCTGTGCTCACCGAGGTCGACGACGAGGAGCCAGCTGCTCCTCTCCTCCGACGTGGTAGTTCGCGATCCCGCTCGAGTCCCAGTACACCTGAACGACGTCAACCCAGCACACCTCCCGTGCCTCCTCTCCCTGCCACCCCAGCTCGGACACCGGAGCCTATAATTCCTGCACCTTTGGCATCCGAAGAGCCTGTCGTTGCTACCCCTCCAATTGAACCACCGCAGGATCCTTCACGTTTCACTGTTTTCCTACAACTCGGAAGGGAAGTGAAGAAAGTGAAGATCGACCATGGTCTCTCATTCTCCTCGCTTCGGGTACTATTCGTTGACAAATTCTCGTACAATCCCGGCCTCGAGAATTTTCCGGCGATCTATATCCGTGACCCGTCAAGTGGAGTGCAGTATGAGCTAGAAGACATGGAGGAGGTCAAAGAAAAATGTTTGCTTTCACTGAACATTGAGCGTACGTACTGATAAATTTGCGTGGCCTGTTCATTTTATCTGACTATTCCTTTTTATAGCACTTGACCAGATCAAACAGCACATCGATGCCCAAATCTCCACGTTATCGCAGGATATCAAAGAACTCAAGACCGCCGTTAACAGCAGTAACAGGCAGTCGATCCATGTACCTCCTACTATCGTCGGTCAACCATTGGCGGAAAGCACACCTGCACCCAACAGACCGACCGACCGCCAATTCCAACACGTCGCACGGCGACTGTCACGTTTTGTCGGAGAAGGCTCTTCGGGAATGTCGTCTTTTACCGCGCCTCCCATGCCCGCGCTGCAGGCCCAGATGACTGGCCAGTCTCTCCAACCTCAAATGACGGGCGGCTCAATGTTGTCCGATTATTCCTCGCGCGTCGTCACGGATCTCAAGACGCAATTCGACGAGGTGCAGAATCTGCGACGCGACTTGGGGATCATGCGGCAGCTGTACACGGAGTTTATGAAGTCCACCAAGGAATCGCTCGGCACGCTCCGCGGGCAGACGCAGTCCGTTAAGCAGCTCGCGAGTACCAGTGTTGGTGGAGCTAGAGGATATATCGACACGGGAAAGAAGAAGCTCGATACGCGAAGCCAGAACGTGTTGACGGAGGTGGAGAAGCTCCAAGACACCGTCGAGGGCGTCAAAGACGATGTTATCAAGCGCCACATCACTCCCAAAGTGCAATACCTCCGAAATATCAAGAAGGACATCGACTCGGTTGCGGCGGAGATGGAGAGTCTGAAAGAGCACATCGACACGATCAAGCCGATGTGGAAGAAGACTTGGGAGGAAGAATTGCAGAACATCGTCGACGAGCAAGGCTTCCTCACCCACCAGGAACAATTCCTCGAGGACCTGCTGGAGGACCACAAAGCGCTGTTGGAGGTTTACGGGCACGTGGAAAAGATCATCAGCATCCGGGGTCCTGGGTCCGTCGGCAGTCGCGGTGGAAAGAAAAGTTTCCGTCCTCCGCCTCCGGAAGAGGGATATGGTGGTCTGAGCACCGTCATGCTCGAGATTCGGGGTGCGGCCGTCGATCCCGAAAGGCGGATGAAGGCCATAGAAGCCAGCCAGAAGAGCCGGGAGAAGGAGCTCGCCAGCAGGTCCGACGAGATGCAGGCCGAGTTGACCGACTTTGTAGCGGGAAAGAAACTCAAGATGACTGGAGGAGCGGAGGAGGCCGAGCGTGTGAGGCAGAAGAGGAACGACATGACCTTGAAGGCGATGTTCACCGGCGGTGGCGGCGTGGTGAATGAGATGGGTATGACCGGTGACTCTCCGGGTTGAGACCCGACGTCAATTTCCTTTCGATTATGTTTTCCACATCGTACAATTCTCACTGCATATTTATCTTTGCTCAACCCATTGTTTCGCCGAACACTCCTGACTTGTGTATCCTATGTAATACTTTGCTTTGTTTTATTTTCAATGCGAGGCTAATTATTGCATCGGGTCGACTGAAACCTCTGTCAGAATGGTCGTCCCTACTATGGGCGATACAATCCAACCTTGAATTATTGCTGTAACTCTGGGTCGGGCCCACCGCGGCCATCTCCTGGAGGTGACGATGCCGAACCGCGAGAGGTTCTGCCAAGAGATTTGGTACCAGCTACAAGGCGAGCATGCCAACGAGGGGAAGACCTGATAACGATCAGTAAGTGAATCCGGAGAAGCAAAAAAGTGTTCCTACGAGGTGGCCTTGTCGCGAGGATGGACTTGCAATTGGCCCGGTAGGCGCACATGCCGGGGAGTGAGGATGAGGTACGATAAACTGAAAGGCAGCTGCATGTATCTGTTAATGGATACCGTTGGAGACCTCGCAACGCCGCCACATTTAAGCTCGCGGTCCCACGATGAAGGGCCGGCCACGAGTAGACAAAAGAAGGATAAGGACAAAGGACAAAGTATAAAGTAATTCGGTAACTACTTTCGGACAATTAAGCGTCGTCGATCCTCATGGAGAGAAAAAAGTTGAAAGGGCCAAGGCGGGAAAAAAATTTCTTTGGGTGGGGGGTTATGAGTGGTTTGGCTTGCGCGACAAAGGAAAATTAGGTGAGGGAACTTTATACAAAAAGGGAAAAAATATACACCAAAGGGGAGTCGAACCCCTGCCGCTTGCTACCGCATCGGTGTAGCGGAAACCCTACATAAGGGGTCACGTGACCGATGAATGGAAGGCAAGCATGATAACCGCTTCACCATTGGTGTCTGACCACAGGAGGGGATAGTAGAGATGGAGAGAGGACAATTCTGATTCGGAACCGTCGAGGAACCATGCCAATCGGACAAGAAATGGTCGAGATACGCGACAACCTTCCATAGGAGGTGGCTGTGTAAAAAAAAAAAGCAAAATTGCACTAAGACAAAAAAACTTAGCGAAATTTACGCGTTTGACCGGACGGCTATCTGTGTTCGCGACCTGGGAGACCAGGTTCGATCCATGCCGAGGCTAGCTGTTGAATGAAACAATTCCAGCAGACAGATGTCTTGTCGACTCATCAAAAGTTTGGAAGTACATATACACTCAAAGTTGAATATTAATGCTACTGTAACGTTGAATAGCCGGAGATCGTCGACCGTCAAGCTCACACCATTCAATATTCAATCCCGATACACGACCGGGCCCCGGTTACTGAACTTTATTCGATCCGAGCCTCATTTCGGAACCGCCTGAGACGGAGATTTGGATTTGGATTGTTCGGCCCGACAGCCTCCTCGTACAGCCGGGTCCTGAGATCTAGGTAGAGGGCCTCCGCGTCTTCCGTTTTCCCGGCCTGGCCCTCTCGCGAGTAGGCCGGCAGTCAGAAGGGGATCATGAAGCTAAAGCGCGACGTCGGGTGGCGCTGCGGGCGTAATCGAGCCCGAGCTGTCAATCCGGGTTGGTGTCGACTCCGGGTCTGGCTCACCACTGGCTCAACGTTAACCAACGTTGGCCCATTTGAATAGGGGCTCGTCTTGGCCTTTTGATCGCGGCGTGTTTGTTTAATTTTGACACAAACTTGGACACAGCCACAATGGCGACGGTCCGATCTTCCGCAGCGTATCCCCTGAGGTCGGAGAATTGGGCTCATCGTTGGCTCATCGCCCTCCGACCTTTGCCCGGTTTTGCAGCGGGAGCCCCGACGCGTCATGATAAGGCTATAACCCCCGCATCAGCACTTGCCATTTTTTCTATACAATTCGTCGCTTATTACCTCCAACACTGGAGCACGAAAGTTGCCATTCAATTCATACCATCTACCCGTCAACCTTAGTTGAGCTAGGGCCCATCGTTCCCCCCTTTTTTTGTGGGTGACATTTGCACCCGTTGCGTTCGTCACTGCATCGAGGCAAAGCTAAAGATACGGCTTGGGGCACCGGGCCTGGGTACCGTGGACGTACCCACAAAACGAACACATACATTGGACGCCACAGGCAGGCACACATGCCATTGCGTCTAGACTCTAGCTAAGTATGTATGAAGTCGAGCAGGAACCACACGCCCACGCCCACGCCACAACAGGATCTGCCGGGACGCAGGATGGCATGCCAGCCTCCAGGTCGCTGTACTTGGATCGCGTCGCACCCAGAGTCCAGACGCGCCACAGTGACACCATCGCCGTCGCGCGCGACGCCCAACATGCACCGGAAGCAGAACAAGGGAGCTAACAGCAACCGCGCGATAAAAACAAAAAAAGATGGACACACGGTGACGCGCGCATGCGCGCACACACAAAAAAAAAGTCGAACGGACTCATCTGTCGTCGCTTGATGTCATTCCGTCGTCTTTTTGTTTCGAGAACAAGGGCATTCAATTGTTGAATTACGTGGTACTTATAACGAGTGTAAGTAAGTGGGTTGGTAGCGAGTGGCACAGCACGCGTGCGTATAGCAGTACAGGAGATGGGAGGCAACGAAGAGCAGTACAACAAAGCAGATGGAACAGAAGCAACAGCAGCAGCAAAAATACACGGTTGAATGGTGGTGGGCAATGATGATAATGTGACAGATGCAATGAATGGTGAATCGAAGAGAAAAAAGCAACGAAAGCGTCGTGGGCGTAAGAAGGTCGTCGAAGGGCCGCAGACTAGGCGGCGAGGAGGCAGTAAATGGGACGTGTAAGGATAATGAGAGTATTAATGTACGGGGTGCTGGTTGATGTACAGGCGAACGACGGGCGTTCTTTTTATGCGGGCGCGCAGCGGCGCAAGGTACAATGCAATGCGGGTCCGGCGGTGTCGAGCAGTGCAGCACGAGCGGGGTCGGAGGCAAGATGTCGGTGATGTGGGGGGAAAGTCTTGGTGAGAAGCAGGGCGCTACGTCGCGATCTCGATGAAGCTGCGCCAGCTGAAGCGCGAGCTGTCGTCGTCGTTGTGAAAGTCCATGAAGCTCTTGAGCGCCAGGGACGTCTTCTTGCGGCGGCGCGGGTGCACGAAGGCGGAGCGTGTGCTGCGTGTGCTACTCTCGCGGCGCGTGCTGCTCTCCCGCGAGGAGGGGATGGAGGCGCGTGGTGAGGAAGAGGAGTCGATGTCGCCGTCATCGAGACGGGCAATGAGCATGATGAGCTGGTCGTCGCTCAGCGAGAGGTCGAGCATCTCCTCGGACGAGGGTCGCACGGGGGTGGGCCGGGGCTGTTCGTCCTCCTCGTCCTCGTCTTCACTGAGGCTCATGAAATTGCCGGTCGAGACAACGGGGCGGCGACCCTCGAGACAGGCGAGGGCCTTGCTGCGGCGCGTGCGGCGGTAGCGGGTGGAGACTGTGGATGTGGTCGCGGAAGCGCGCGTGGCCTGGGATGTGACAGAGGCCTTGCGCTGCGGTACGGACTGGATGAGGACGGGGGTCGGTGTACGGGAAACGGCGACGTCCATTGCAGGGCTGCTGGGGACGTTTGGGAGTGGCGAAGCGGGGGCAGGTTTTGGAGAAGGAAGGGCGCGGAAAGAGCCGGAGGACGAGTTGCGGAGACCCCTCGGTGATGGGGGAGGCAGGAGAGAAGGCGAGTCGGGGATTTGGCTGTTCGTCGGCTGATTAGCGGAATGAAAGGGAAAAAAGAGAGAAAAAAGACGGACAAGTTTACAGCAAAGGGAGGTTCGTGGTGTCTGTGTCTAATGCTGTGAGACCGGAGAGACTGGGACTCTGCGAGATCAAGCGATAGGAATGAGCGAAACTGGTCCTTGTCGCGTCTCGGCTGGAGGGTAAAGTAGAACATGGAAGCGTCGTCTGGGGTGGTAGAGGAGACAAAGGAATCTGTTGGGAGAGAGCCTCGACGGGGAGCAGTAAAGTCATAGGAGTCGCAGGAGGAGCGGAGGGAGACGGGGGAGGAGGAGGGCGGGGACAAGAGGCCAGAGGTGAAAAACGGGGAATATTCTGCAAACATGGTGGTGGTGTGTTGTGTTCACTTGGTCTGGTATTATATATCTTGTGCTTGGATCTGAGATTGCAATGTTTCGATCGCGTTTCACTTGCCGACTGTCGACCCGATCGGTCGTATTTCCCACGCCGAGTCCACTTCCTGTGGCGTCCGTCCATTTCGGCCAGCCTTCGGAGAAGCCCACAACTTGCATTTACGCTGCTTCCACTACGTCCTTTATTGCTGTTTCAAGGAGCGACTGCTGTCCTGCAAAATATATTTCCCATCCCTAGTGCGCCTGCAGGTAGCAACCCTGTTCGGCGATCCCTAAAAATTGGCAATCCGCCAGCCCAAAATGTAGTTTCAATCTCAGCTGACTCGCAACAACTCCACTAGTAATGGACGCGCTCCACCCAATGTAGATGACAGCCCAGTGCGCGCGATAGCGGGCTTGCTTCCCTTGTCCTTCACTCCGACAGTTCTTCGCCCGCCTCGTGCCCACCGCACGACAATCGCGTTCCCAGTGCGCGCCCCTTTTTTTTTTTCTTCACGTGTATCACACCCGGCGAATTAACCCAGTACGCGATACCGAACCCGCCACCGCGTCAAGTAACCATCCCAGCACCACTGTTTAAAAAAACTCGCGTATCGCGGGGATAGATTCGGCCGGAAGCTCCCGGACGTCATCTAATAGTCGTACGTTTTTTCACGCGCCTTTCACGCGAGCGCAAGACTAAAGGATGGATGGTAAGCAGATTATTGCAAGGGTCTTTATTTTAACAGGCCCGGTTGCCTCACCACCGAATTCAAATCGTGGAAATGCGCAGTAGCCTCTCTTGACCGCGTCGGCTCCAAATCTTGCAAATTCGATATCCATCCTCCGTTGTGCACTAATATCACCGCCAAGAAGGATCCACAACCAGCCGGACATGTCGGCGCGGCACCGCGTACAAGTCCTATCCTACGTGCAGCAGCATTTCTTCGCGACGTTCGACTCTACTTGACTCGAGCCTGTTTGTTGCAAGTACCATTGACAAAGAAGAGGAAATCCCGGACACGCCGGAGGGCGTGCATGGCTGGCAGACATCTTACGGAGGGCCTTTCTGGCAGGCGCCGGAGTCCCCATTTTTCTTTTGGCCTTGCGTGTTGTTGCTTTACCTCGCGGAGCTGCTTTTTTGACTGCCGGGCCCGAGGAATGATGAGCGTTAGCGGGACTGTCGCTGGCCTTCGACAGCCCTACGAGGTACACTGGACTCATTACGAGCATTTCCAAGCTACGACGTTTTTCTCTTCACCAGTGCCAAGTTAGGCCAAGCTGCTTTGTATCAGTGCAGGAATGGATGAGCGGCGGATACTAGTACTTGGCCGCGTCTCACCAGGCCTTGCCTCACCACTACCAGCCCTGCGCTGCGCGGCGCGCGTATCACTTCTTACATCTTACGTCGTACACCCACTTGTCCTGCCGCCCATTGTCAACGTTTTGTTTCACTTTTGTTCTCTGCCTTGCTCCGAGTTTCGATGTTCCTTCCGCGACGTGATATCCATTTTCTGTTCTTAACATATCCCTTGACTGCCTATCAAGGCTGTCGTCAACTCGCAAGCTCCGGTGCCGCACCGTGATCCCGCCCTGCACTCGCAACGCCGGAACTGGAACTGGGACCCGGTCGGTCGTCATGGGACATCGTGGCCCGACGTACCGAGCACGAAGCAAAAAATAACGGTGAATGAAACAAACACTCGCGTGGTGCCCCATTTAGGATCGGGAGTATGTGCCCCGTTTGGGTTTTACGTTCCACTGGCAGCTGTGACATTGGGACCCACTTATTCCCGCTGCGACGCCGACTTAGTTGCTTAATGCTCTGTCCACCGACAATTGCACAAT